TTCATATTCTGCCAAACTAAGCTTCATAAGTGAAAGAGAAATAAAATTCTTCTCAGACAAGCAAATGCTGAGGGAGTGTATTTTAACTAGACCAGCCTTATAAGAGGTCTTTAAGGAAACACTAAACATAGAATACAAAAAATTTATACCTGATACAAAACACATCGAAACACACAGCCCACAGGCACTACAAAGCAACTATGTGATCAAATCTATATAACAAGAAACTAACAACACGATGACAGGACCAAATCACAGATATAAGTACTAACCTTGAATGTAAATGGGCAAAATGCCTCACTTAAAAGACAAAGCATAACAGGTTGGATAAAAAAATAAGACCCAACCATCTATTGTCTTTAAGAGACACATCTTACATGTAATGGTACCCACAGACCCAAAGTAAAAGAATAAAGAAATACTTACCATGCAAGCAGACAACAAAAAAGCAGGTTTTGCTATTCCTGTATTAGCTAAAATAGACTTTAAAACAAGTTCTCACTCATAGGTGGGTGTTGAACAATGAGAACACATGGACACAGGGAAGGGAGCTTCACACACTGGGGTCTGTCAGGGGGGAAATAGGGGAGGGACAGCAGGGCGTGGGGAGTTGGGGAGAGATAGCATGGGGGGAAATGACAGATATAGGTGATGGGGAGGAAGGCAGCAAATCACACTGCCATGTGTGTACCTATGCAACAATCTTGCATGTTCTTCACATGTACCCCAAAACCTAAAATGCAATAAAAAATTTAAAAAAAAAAGTAAAAATTAAAAAGAACAAGGAAAGACATTCAATAATGACAAAATTCAACAATAAGCTTTATCCTAAATATTTACATACCCAATATTGGAACATCCAGATTCATAAAACAAGTTCTTCTTAGCCTACAAAAAGACTTAGACAACCACACAACAGTAGTGGCAGCCTACTGGCTGCATTAGACATATCATCGAGGCAGAAAACTAACAAAGAAATGGGACTTAAACTTGACACTTGGCCAATTGGACCTAATAGACATCTACAGAACATTCCACCCAACAACCGCATACATTCTTCTCATCTGCACACAGAACATAATCGAAGATTGACCACATGCTAAGTCATAAAGCAAGTCTCAATACATTCAAAAAAGTTGAAATCATACCAAACACACTCTCAGACCATAGTGCAATAAAAATAGAAGTTGATATCAAGAAGATCTCTCAAAACTAAAAATACATGGAAATTAAGCAACTTGCTCCTGAATAATTCTTAGATGAACATTGAAATTAAGGCAGAAACAATACATTTATTTTAAATTAATGAAAATATGTATACAACTTACCAAAATCTCCATGATGCAGCCAAAGCAGAGTTAAGAGCAAAGTGTATAGCCCTAAACATCTTCATCAAAGAGTTAGAAATACCTCAAATTATCAATCTAACTGTGCACCTGAAGGAACTGAAACAAAAAGAATAAACCAACTCCTAAGCTAGCAGAAGAAAATAAATAAAATTAGAGAACTTAATAAAATGGAGACGTAAAATATTTTGCAAAAGATCAATGAAACCACAGTTAATTATACAAAAAAAGATTGACAGACTATTAGCTATATTAGCGAAGAAGTAAAGAGAAGATCCAAATAAGTGCAATCAGAAATGACAGAGATGACATTATAACTGATCCTACAGACATACAAAAGATCCTCAGAGAATACTCTGAACTCTATGCACACAAATTAGAACATTTAGAGGAAATGAATACATTTCTGGGAAAACACACGATCTCCCAAGACTGAATCAGGAAGAGATTGAAATACCTAATAGATCAATGTTGAGCTCCGAAATTGAATCACTAATTTTAAAAACCTACCTACCAAAAAAAGAGCCCTGAACCAGACAGATTCACAGCCTAATGCTACACCAAATACATAAAGAAGAACTGCTACCAATCATCCTGAAACTATTCCAAAAAATCAAGGAGGAATAACCTCTCTCTAACTCATTTTATGAAGCCAGCATCAGCCTACTACGAAAATATGGCTGAGATGTCAAAGAAAAAAACTTCAGGCCAACATCCCTGAAGAACACAGATGCAAAAATCCTCAGGAAAATGCTAGCAAATGGAATCCAGTAGCACATCAAAAAGTTAATTCACCATGATCAAATAGCTTTATTACTAAGAGGCAGGTTGGTTCAACATACACAAATCAATATGATTCACCACATAAACAGAATTAAAAACAAAAACCATGTGATCATCTCAATAGATGCACAAAAAGCTTTCAATAAAATCCAACATTGCTTCATCATAAAAACCCTCAACAGACTGGGTATAGAAGGAACATACCTCAAAATAATAATAGTCATCTTTGCCAAACACACAGCCAACATCATACTGAACAGGAAAAGCTGGAACCATTCCCTGTGAAAACTGGAGCAAGGTAAGGAGCCCACTCTCCGCACTCTATTCAACATTGTACTGGAAGTCCTAGCCAGAGCAATCAGGTAAGAGAAAGAAACAAAAGGCATCCAAATAGCAAAAGACGTCAAACTATCTGATATCGTTCTATACTTAGAAAGCCCTAAAGAATCTGTCAAAAGACTACTAGAACCAATAAACAATTTTAGCAAGGTTTCAGGATAAAAAATCATGTACAAATATCAGTAGCGTTTGTTTATTTTTTTTCCCCCTTTGGAGACAGAGTCTCACTCTGTCACCCAGGCTGGAGTGCAGTGGTGTGATCTCGGCTCACTGCAACCTCCACCTCCCTGATTCAAGCTATTCCCCTGCTTTAGCCTCCTGAGTAGCTGGGATTACAGGTGCACACCACCATGCCCAGTTAATTTTTTTGTATTTTTAGTAGAGACAGGCTTTCACTATGTTGGCCAGACTGGTCTCAAACTCCTGACCTCAGGCAATCTGCCCCCCTCAGCCTCCCAAAGTGTTAGGATTACCGGGGTGAGCCACCACACCTGGCCGTCAGGAGCATTTCTATACACCAAAATGTTCAGGCTGGGTTAAATCAAGAACACAATCCCATTCATAATAACCACAAAGGAAATGAAATATCTAGGAATATAACTAACCAAGAAGATGAAAGATCTATAAAACGAGACCTAACACAACAGAAAGAAGTCAGAGGTGACATAAAAATATGGAAAAATACCTCTGGCTCATGTAATAGAAGAATCAATCTTTTAAATTGCCTTGTTGCTCAAAGCAATGTAGAGATTCAATGCTATTCCTATCAAACTACTAACATCCTTCTTCACAGAATTAGAAAAATCTATTCTAAAATTCATGTGGAACCAAAAAGAGCCTGAATAGCCAAAGCAATTAGGCAAAAGGAGCAAAGCTGGAGGCATCACTACCTGAGTTTACTCAAGGCTACAGTAACCAAAATATCATGGTGCTGGCACAAAAACAGACACATGGACCAACGGAACAAAGTAAAAATCTCAGAAATAAAGCCACATATCTACAGCCATCTCACCTCTAACAAGGTCAGCAAAAACAAGCAATGCGGAAAGGACACCCTACTCAACAAATGGTGCTGGGATAACAGGCTAGCCATATACATTAGAATGAAAATAAACCCTTACTTTTCACCATATACAAAAATTAACTTAAGATTGATCAAAGTTTCAAATTAAATGTAAGACCTCAAACTATAAAAATTCTAGAGGAAAACCTAGGAAATACCCTTGTTAACACTGGCCTTGGTTGTGAATTTATGGCCAAGTCCCCAAATGCAATTGCTACCAAAACAAAACTTGACAAGCAGGACCTAACTAAACTAAAGTGCTTCTGCACAGAAAAATAAACCACAAACAGAATAAACAGACAATCTATAGAAAGTGATAAAATACTCACTAACTATGCATCTGACAAAGGTTAATATCCAGAATCTATAAGAACTTTAAACAAATCAATGAGCAAAAGACAAATAGCCCCATTAAAAGGTGGCCAAAGACAAGAAAAGACACTTCTCAAAAGAAGACATACTAATGGACAACAAATATATGAAAAATGCTCGTTATCACTAGTAATCAGAGAAGCACAAATCAAAACCACAGTGAGATGTTATCTCACGTCAGTCAGAATGGCAATTATTAAAAAGCAGTTGCTGGCAAAGCTGCAGAGAAAAGGGAAGCTTATACACTGTTGTTGGGAACAGAAGTTAGTTCAGCCACTGTGGAAAGTAGTGTGGGGATTTCCCGAAGAACTTAAACAGAGCTACCATTTGACCCTGCAATTCCATTACTGGTTATATACCCAAAGGAATATACTTACATCATTACACCAAAAAGATGCATACACTTGTATGTTAATTGCTGTAATATTCACAATAGCAAAGATGTGGAATCAACCTGGATGTCCATTAATGGTGAATTGGATAAAGAAAATGTGATACATATACATCATGGAATACTATGCAGCTATTAAAAAGAATAAAATCATGTAGCAGCAACCTGGATGGGTTTGGGGGCCATAATCCTAAGTGAAATAATGCAGAAATAAAAAATCAAATACCATAGGCTCTTACTTATAAGAGGGAGCTAAACATTGAGCACACATGACCATAAACATGGGAACAATACACACTATGGCTCCCAAAAGTGGGGAGAGGAAGGAGGGCATGGATTGAAAAACTACCTATTGGGTACTATGCTCAGAATCTCAGTCCAATATACCCATGTAACCATCCTACACATGTACCTTCTATATCTATAAATAAAAGCTGAAATTTAATTTTAAAAACATTTCTTTTAATAGACTTACCCATTCACAATAACTCAAAGGAAGCATGATATCATATAGTACAGAAAATCAATGGTATATTTTCTGAAAAGACAGAATTATTCATCCTAGCTCCTAGGCTGTAAATATCACTTAAGTTTTGGCTCAAATAATAAGTTTATCTTTAATCAATAAAAATCTGTTAGAAAGGAAGAATGGATAAATGAACGTGTGGCATTTAATTGCTTGAGATGTATACTTTCCTCAAAATAGAAGTGAAACACCAAGCAGGACAGAAGTGAATTCATTGGCCTGACACTCAAATTGTTGGTCAGTATCACCACCAAAGGTCTGTGGGCAGTGGTATGTTAGCAAGTGTTTAATAACCAGCTCTCCAGGATAAAACAAAAACGCTCAATTTGTGGTATTTGCCAATTTCCAAAGTGTAAATACTCCTACTATGCTACCAATACAAAGTCACTGAGCATGGGACTGGTTCCAGTCAACTCCAGCACACCAGGCCTAGTATTGCAATGGCCAGTATTGCTACAGTTTCCGGTGCACTCACAGGAGGCTCCAGAAATCTTGTTTCTCTGTGTGTTGTCATTGTCATTGTTTATTTGTTTTGGTTAAGAGGATGGAGTTTAATGTCAGACCAACTCAGCAGGAACACTGGCTCTGCCATAGAGGTTCAATGCTGGGTAAGTTGCTTAAATGCTCTTAACCTAGGCCTCCTCATCTGCAGACAAGACTGGTAAGTCTAGTAGTAACCTGAAAAGATTGTTAGAGAAATACATAATATATGCAAAGGGTTTTTTACTAGTACCTGGCACTTAGTGAGTGTTTAGCAAATATTATCTGTTGATGTTGATGATGATGCTAATAATAATATTCCTTTGTTCTCATGGAGGTGAAAAGGAATGTTTCCCTGGAATTAAGGTACTTAGTTTTGGTGTTAGTGTCATTTGTGGCTTCCTGGCTTGTTCCTTTTGGCCTCTCCATGCTGCCTATTCCTGTTTATCAGATTAATCCTGAGATCCTTTTTGTCTCATTTTTCATCTCCACCTTCTATGGGTCTCTGGGCACTGATCTGTGGCACCAATTTTATAGAACAAACTTTTGCTCTTTGTGATTTCTTAGTTGACTTGGCTGGTCTCATCACTGCCCAAATCCCTTGATTTGGAAGAGTACTCTAAACATTTTATCAAAAATATACAGCTGATCATTTTTTTTCTGAAAAAAAAAAATCATTCTCAGCTGTTATCATCATTTTCCATTTTTATCAACTCTAATCCTTAGAGTTTCTATGTTATCTCATTTACTCTCTAGGGGGCTATGACTATTCTCAACATATGGATGAAGACACTGGGGCATACAGATGTTAAGTAATTTGCTGTAGGTCACACAGCTTGTGGGAAGCTGTGATGTTTAAAATGAGATCACAGCCTAGGTGTACTTGCCTCTGCAGTCTGCACTTACTGCATCTGAACTCTATTCAGCCCCCATTTATAGTTATGTTAAAATAATTTTATTCTTAAATATGATTAACATTATATGGATTCAATAATCTGATGTACCACTAAAACCTTCTATGATGATATTTTCCACTTAGTTTAATTTGTTCTCTAGCATTTTATTATAGTTAGAATCATCAAACAGCTTATTAATGATATAATGAGTGAAATAAGTAGTGAACAAATGGTGAATAGAAAGTAGAAAGAGAATTAAACCATGTTCTCATCAGTAGACATCAAAGGTCTGTATCTCATCCATAAATTGGGTTGAAGATACAATAAGAGTATTAGCCGCAGTAGACATTAGGTAGACTGAACTTCAGATGTTCTTGTGCTAGGTAAAACATACTTAATTTCAAAACCCAGAAATTGCCTAATGAAAAACATAACCAATAAGAGGTGGGAAAAGTTCATTTCTATTATTGGAGAGGAACAGAATACAACTATTAGCAATGTTCTTGTTTCTTTGCAGCTGCCACTGGGCAAAGGTCAAGGCACAGGGCAGCTGGATGTTTGTGTGGATCCTGCAAATGGAGAGGCTCCGTCTGCTGTGGAAACAAAATGGAACTTAACCTCAGCTGAAACAGTGGTGGAGAGCAGAGGGATTTTCTAAATCATTAAGTTTTTTATTTTACTTACGTGAAGCCATACACACAGCCTGAGGCACTGACATTTTCATCAGTCTTTGATGACCTAGTGGTTGAGCTTTTTTGAGGACTGTAGTCATGAGCTCCAGCTGCTCATCTTTGCCTGACTCTCCAGTCAAGGGCCTGCTGTGCTAGTTCTTTTTCCCTTTATATTTTTCCCAGAGGACTCAGAGCCTACTGTGCAGCAGGCACTGCACCAGGCACTTTGCTGTGTTTCCTCATTAAATCCTCTCAATAACCCTTTGGAGGAGGTCTAATACTCTCCTTTCACAGCAGAGAGAGCAGAGGTGCAAAGAGATTAAGGAGGTTGCTTAAGGCCAAAGAGCAAGGACCTGGTGAACTTGAGATGGATCTCTGGATCTGTACATCTGTGTGCTTGTCTTTGCAAAAATGCTCACTGCCTGACACCAATTTTCTTGCCTGACTGCAGGCCAAAGAGTGCATCTTTTACATATTCTGTATAGAGTTTATGTTCAATTTCTTTTCCAAATTTTTTTAAGAAGAACTTAGAGAGACATCACAAATTTTATTTCTCTTTACTATTGTCTGTTATTGACTCTTTTTTCCCCCTCTTTGACAGCTTCACTGCACAAGTTTAGGTAGTCTCACTACCTGTGAGAATTTGATAAGAAATCAGAGAGAATCAATCTCAAATTAGGAAAGCATTCATGGCCCATTATTCACTTTCTGAGTAAATAATTACTTCCAAACATCCCTCCTTCTGCAACCTACTTCTTTGCAGATGAGATGCATGTGAGTGATTCCATAAAAGCAGTTTTGGCCCTGAAGACTCAGAAAAGTGTGACTGGGTGATGTAGAAATCTTCTTAGAACTACCAACTTTGTTACTGTAGAATAGACATTGTTTCTTACATTGGGAATACTCATGAGCAAGAAGAAAAGGAATGGTTATTATTGTACAACACAAGAAAGATATTTAAAATAGAAGGGGATCCAACTATATCTTCTATACATTATCTTGGCTACTAATGCAACTTCATCGTTGAGTCATGAGAAGCTATGCTTGATCTTGTTCTTTAATATTTACTAGAACTCTGGTTTTAAAACTGAAGAGTTCAAATGGGTCCAAGTAAAATAAAATCAAATAGACTAATATCTTTATTGCAAAATATTATTTGTAGTGTAGGCACATATGCATGCAGGCACACACACACAAATACATTTTTACAGATTTATAAGTGGGAAATGTTATCAAGACATGACCACATCTTTGTGACTCTTTCTGTTTTCATATTATGCTGTTTAACTCACAAGAATATTTCTCTATGTCCCCATTTTAAAGGAGGGGCAGTGGTGAAGGTGAAAGGGGTTGATAGTCATGGGTTGCTTACCGGCAAAGTTCCTTGGATTCTCTTGGTTTACATTTTCTAAATGTCAGCAGTGTGCCCAATACCCTGTTCTGAGTGCTGCTCCCAACTGGCTGCTCTACAAGCACAGGGTGTACATGAGTAACAAAGACAATATCAGAAAACCTTGGGAAGTCCAGTTCCTCCAGCTGGCCCTTGGGGTCATTCAAAGTGAAGGCTATAGTGCCAAGGGCAGAAGGCAAGGGATGGAGAAGGCTGATTCAGTGCAACCTGGGAAATTCATGAGGCTGCCTTACTAACGGTGGTACTCTGTCTTGTAGGTACCTTATTACAAAAATTAAGTAAATCCCTGCCACCTCCAAGGTCACCAGCTTATTGTAATGCCAGTCGCCTATACTTGCATCTTATCTATTTCCTTCTTTCAAGCGTTCCCATGCTGAACAGTGTACATATCTTGATCATGCATTTCTTCACTGGTTCAACAAACAGTGTTGGAAACCAGGGGCTACGTGCCTTTTATTAGGTTGGTGCAAAAGTAATTGTGCTTCTTGTCATTACATGTAATGTCAAAAATTGTAAAATTACTTTTGCACCAACTTAATACAATCTTGCAGTGTAAGTCCAAGGTAGCCCATGTTCCCATGTGTGTGCGCGCGTGTGTGTGTTGAGGGTGCATGTGTGTGTACCTACAAATATAGAAGTATGCCTAGCACAGCTTTGGAACAACCAAAGGGAGTTCTCAAGGCCAGTTAAGCCTCAGAGAAGTGAATTTCCTCTGCAAACAGGTAACCAAAACAAATCTGAACTTCCAGAGCTGCAAATCATGGAGTGGGAGGCAGCAATAAATTCAAGCCATTACCTTGTGTTTCTGTTTCCTAAGGAATGTGTGCACCGGAAGAGAAAACATTAGCATCCTATCCATCAAAGTAGGAACACATTGTTTTATCTCTTTCCCTAGAAGTTTCAGGAATTTCCATTATATCCTGTGGGAATTGAAATATCCTTCAGAGATAATCTGCTGTGTGTTTCATCCTCTATCTTATCGACCATACATTCTTTATGCATTTGCTTACATCATGAAAGGCATCTTTATTTAAAATTGATATTGTTTAGAAATGAATAGTTGGACATCAGTTGACATCCCTTCTTTCACTTAAAATAGTTATAGCCAGAAAAACTCGTGTTTCATAACATCTGATTGGACTTCTGATTCATAATGGTTTAAATATGTGATTACTACAAGATTAGCTGCAGAAACTAATGGCTCATTTATCTGATTTGACATATTTTAGGCATGAATGGACTCCTCTCCCCCAATCATGTGTACATCTGAGTTATATACCCTTTTATACTTGATGAGACAGATCTTATGTGTGTGTTAAAAGTGTGGATTTTGGGGATGCTTGTCTGGGGACTGCAAATGCTAGTCAGTCAAGAGCAGATTAACGATAGGCAGAAAAGGGATGGGACTCACATACTGTAGTCACATGAGGATGGGTGGTCAGGAGAAAGAAACAGGTACAGAGCAGAGAGAATCTGAAGTTAATCAGAGTAGAAATTATCTGGGTCGTCCGTGGATATCCACCTTGCTGGGGGCAGTGTTGGGGGTGTTATACTCACGGAGACAAAGAGTCCAAAAATTCTGGATGTGGATTATTTTCCTCTGTCTTGTGCCTGCTGGTATCATCTTTGGCTGACAATATCATGTATAAGTCCACTCTTGCTTTACTATAGAGAACTACCTGAGATGGGGTAATTTATGAAGCAAAGAGGTTTAATAGACTCACAGTTCCACAGGCTATACAGGAAGCATGGCTGAGGAGGCTTCAGGAAACTTACAATCGTGGTAGAAGGCAAAGGGGAAGCAGGCACATCTCACATGGGTGGAGAATGAGGAAGAGAAAGAAGGCGGAAGTGCTACACACTTTTAAAACAACCACATCTTGTAAGAACTATCATGAAAACAGCAGAATCAAGTCACCTTCCACCAGGCCTCTCCTCCAACATTGAGGATTATAATTTGACATGAGATTTGAGTAGGGAAACAGAGCCAAACTATATCATATCATTCACTGGAGATCACTAGTTTCAAAACAAGCAACTCCCTTAAAATGTAAGTATCTGTCTTAGTCTGTTTGTGCTGCTATAACAGCATATATGAGATGGTAATTTATAAATAATAGGTATTTATTTCACAGATCTGAAGGCTGGGAAGCCCAAGATCAAGACATTGGCAGACTTCATGTCTGCTGTGGGCTGCTGTCTGCTTCCAAGGTGATGCCTTCTTACTGTGTCTTTGTGTGGCAGCGGGGGTGGGCAGTGGATGCTGTGTCTTCACATGACAGAAGGGGCGAATATTATGCCCTCATATGGGGAAGGCAGAAGGGCAAACAGGGTCAGTTAGTTAAGGGTCCCAATCTCATTCATGAAGCTGGAGTCCTCATAACTTAATCACCTCCTAAAAGCCCCTCCTCTTAGTACAGCCATATGGGGCCTCAGGTTCCAAGATATGAATTTTGAGGGGACCCAGACATTCAATCCATAGAAGTGTCCAGGCTCAAGATTTAAAAATCTGTATAATGCATTATTGAAGAGTTTATTCTAGATTCATCTTCTTTTCAAACCTTGGAAAAATTGTTCAATATACTATTGGGTGTTTGGCCATTTCTATTGTCTAGAATAATAGACTCAATGACTATACCTCAGTATATTATTTTGGTATCACAGGCTAAGAAACATCAACTTAGGAAACTATCTTTAAAAAAAAATCATGTTCACTTATAGGATGGCCTACAGACAAATATGGCTCATAACATCTGGCAACGTCTGTTCTTTGGCCACTCAGTGTTTTCTTTCTAAACATTGAATATGAATGCCTCTAGGAAGGGCATGTTTTCTCCATTGCTACAAAGGTTCCTCTGCCCCCAGTCAGTTTAATCTTTGCAGAGTCACACATATATCTATATCTATATATCCAGATCTATCTCTCTAACTCATTTATGATATATGTATGTATATATGTATCTATTTATCATCTATCTATATCTGCATCTTAACTCTCTGTCTCCAAGACTTATAAACGTTCAAAAAAAAACAGCTAACATGTATTGAAGGCTTACCATGCTATAGACACAGCCCTAGGAGGCAAGTACTATTTTCACTTCCATTCTAATTTACAGAGGAAATCTAAGAAAATTGCCCAAGGTAACACAGATGGTAAATGGCAGAGTCTGGGATACACACTCAGGGACCGGTTCCAGAGCGGTGACTCTCCACAACCTTCTCAGCAGGTAAACAGCCAGTGGCAAACTCTGCTTGTGTGAAGCGCTTCCATGTCCAGCCTGTGATCCCAGGACAGCCCAAGCTTTATCGACTTCTGAAGTTCAGATGCAGAAACATCTGCAAACCTTACATGTGCATGGCGGGGCACAAGGACCGAGTGTTCTGGGATCTGAGGGACTGAAAGGAAGAGACCCTCATCAACTAATAAGCCAGTCCCTATAGCCAGCACCAGCTATCAGATTTGCAGGGCCCAGTGCAAGTGGAAAATGTGGGGCCTTTGTTCAAAAGGCAGAAATAAAGTGCTGTTAAAAAATAGAAATATAAAATGTTTTCCTTTCTTCCGGCCACTGTTAATCTGTGATGGTGCTTTTTGTTTGCTATTGAATGTGCTCCCTCGTGGGTTCGGAGCCATCCGGACGCCAGCACAGGCTGCTGGTGCCCATGGCCCTGCCCTGCAAGGCCTGCTCCTATCTACTTCTATACACAGGTCTGTCACATGCATTTTCTCTGCCTCATTTCCTCCTT